GGTCAGGACGAGCCGACCTGCGGTTCCGCAGCGCTTCAGCTGCGGGCTGGCGGCGCGGCACGGTCACCCCGGCTGCCTCCGCCGGGCCCGCAGCCCCGGCCAGCTGCCCGCTCCGCGCGTTGCATTTAGCAGGCGGAGCGCTAAGGACTGCTCTGTCTTAGCGACAGGCAGAGTTTGCTTTCTCTGCCCTCTGTGATCCGTAGCAAAAATAGGATTTTGAGCAGAACTTCGGGAAATTTGCAAGCTTGGTCACTTTATTAAACACCAACAACAATGGGAAAATAAATACTATGTACTTACAACTGTCTGCCACACTAGAGTACCAATTCCTGGAGAGTGTTAACTGCTTCTCAGACTTGTTTTCTATGTGTTTTATACCAGAAGACTTTAAAAAAATATTCACTGATCGAAAACATGGCACTCAGTACTGGATTTCTTTTACTTTGGCATTTTCTTCTCAGTTAAATGGTGCACTAGTAATGTTCCATGCTTGGGAACACTACTAGTTTTAACAATGACTATGCAAGGACAATAATACACTTTCTATTTTTCATTCTTTGGATCCTTTCAAAGGCTGCCCTCTGAGTAACACTGGGATTGTTTTGTATAGCCATAGTTCGAGGATCCAGAACCTTGTCCAGTACTCTCCTCTGACTGACATTACAAAAACTGGACATGTTGATAGGTAGTATGTTTAAAAGCTTTCTTGTAAAGTGCAGATGAAGGAAGACAGCTTTGGTGTGGGAGATGGGTTTTACTGCCCCAGATTCTTCAGCATTCCGTGGCTTTTTCTTACCTTTGTAGCAACGCTACAGCACTTTTCAGCTGATGTTTTATTCATAATTTTCTTAAGAAGAGTATGTATTTTCCCATATAGTTACTAGCAGCAGTTGTTTTATTATAAAATGGCCACACTCCACCTATACAAGTGAAGTTACTCCTTCCACGCGGAAGAACTACATCTCAAAGTCATTCTGGACCTTACAGCATATTATGGTGTAAAAGTAATGGAAATTGTTTGTGCTTACAGTTCCACTGAATCCTGAATCAAAAGCGTTTGATACAGACATTTCACGTACATTTAAGAAGCTTTTGTATATACACGAGTGTGAGGGAGGCAAGAAAAAAAGGAAACGACTTCACCTTTTTTGTGAATAATCCCTCGATTTTTGTTCTATGAGGCTGATAGCAAACCAGAACCACTGTCAGGTTAGGAACTGCGCAAGCCTCAAAGCCGATATAACTAAAGAAGTCATGCTTCAAATGAAGAAAAATACAGTTTTGTTTTGGTTTTTTGTTGTGGGGTTTTTTTTTTTTAAAGGTAAGAAGCTTTAGCTAATTTTCATTAGCTGTCAGACTTGCAAACATATTCAAGTATTTTGTATTTTCTTCTTCAGGCTAAGGGAAAACTTACAGAATCTCAACAGGAGTTATGTTACCACATCAAATATGAATGTGGTACTTGGGCAACGTTCACAGCTGTGCAGAGGCCATGGCAATCTAACCATTCCTGTCCTGCTGAAAAGCCTTCACTGAAATAGAAACACCACCTAAGCAGACTGAAGTTAATGCAAAAGCGAAGCAGACTCTCATGAAACATAGGTGATCAGCTCATCAGAAATAAGGCTGTCCGCTACAAGCGGCTCGTATTCTGCTCTTATCATCTACCAAGGTAGCACAAAAACAACCTGAAAATACCACAGATCAGAAGCAGTATCTGTGATACAATGACAAAAAGTAATTTGCTGCTAACCCATGCCAAGAAAAAAAATGTTTTAAGAGATGCTTCTGTTAGAAAAAAATTAACAGAACAGGGATATGAAATGTCTTGTCTCAGCCCTAGTGAAAAACACTGAAGAAAAATCAAACTGTCATTAAATAGCAAACCTACTGAAAGACAGGTTTATACAACTATTTTATATTTTAATTACAAATTCATTTTAAAAAATCACAGGAAAGTTACTGGGTTTGTACCTACTCAACATCAGAAACTGCAGAGGTTTTCAATGAATATAAACAAACAGGTATATTTACAGAGTTTATTAGAAACCATACATACATACACTAGGAAAGGATGTACTGTACCTACTCATTGCAGCTTGCATGTCAAAGAACTGAGATCTCCTCAGGTTTAGCAGTCTTAATGCAGAATGGATTACAAGTAGTTTACTGACCAGAGTTCAAACCAAGTGGAAGTTTTGTATTGTGAACCAAGTACCTTATTATCGAGTTACTTTGTTATTTCTTTTAAAATTAATTAGAAGGAATAAAAAAATGCCAACTCCGCCACATGAAAGCAGCCCCTGTGCGTACAACCTCTCCCACGTACCCAAGTCCATTCACCCCGCAGTATCCAGGCATCAGTGTAGCTCTCACAAACATCCCGTGAAGTCAGTGGTTCTGCTGAGACAGTCAGCTGCACATAATCAGCTATTCAGTTTTGCACCAAGCATAACTCAATTCATACTAAGAAAAAAAAGCACCTGTTATTCTCAGGAATATACAAATATTTACCACAGTTTTCCTTGCTTATTACAAAATCAGTTACAAAAGCTTACAGCACATTATGTACAAATTCTACCCAAATACATAAAGGAGCCATCATCTGGCACACGGTCTAACAGCATCAGTTGTCACTTAAAGCTGTGGTCAGCTTGCTCCACTCTCCTCCCAAACTCTGAAACGCTGCAGGTGTCTCATGTGCAGCATCATAAAAAGTCTTTGGGTTGGTGTTTCCGCAGAAAGGCGTTAGTTCTTCTTGTGAAGGAACTTCATTTTGTTTCCTAAAGAAAGCACACCATCACTCTCCTGTACATACCGAAAAGCCAAGGGCAATCAAAGGTGACTTAATAAATAGGTCTAATTTGTAATGAAATTGCTGTAGAGTAACTCTTCTACCTATTACCTGCAGGGACAGCCAACTAACAGAATCCTGAGTGGTCAGCCGCCTGCCTTTTCTCCTCTGCCATTATAGTTTGGTTCCCCCGCCCCCGAGTGAAAATGGAAGCGTTAACAAGGATCATAATTAAGATTGGTTTTGTCAGCTTTAAGTATGTTTCATTGTTTTCTTATTTCCTATCACAATGAAACTGCTTATTTCATCTCAGCTAAAGCTTTTTTAATTTAAAAAATAACCAAAAACAAAACCATGAAAACTAATTTCAGAAACACTTCTACATATTTTCCTCACCAAGGCCTCGCAGAAACTTGTTCACTCCACTTTGTTCCGTGTCTGGAAGCTCCTCCAAATACTGTTCAACTCTCTGCTCGAAGAGACCTGTGGGAGAGGGGAGAAAAGGGGGCTGGGGCGAGCTCTGTCAGGCTGAATCCGTCTCCCCCGGCCCCTCTGCGCACCCCCGGCTTTTCACTTCAGCAGCCCTTCGCCCCTGTAACGCCGTACGAGCTTCCTGCCGGTTTTGGCGCCAGAGCCGGTACGGCTTGCCCCCGGCCGGACGCGAGGTGAC